GCAATCCCATCCCATTGTCCTCAACAAGCTGGTCACAAATATGTGGAAATCCCCCCAAAAAGAATGGTTTTCTGGGGGCTACTGAGTCCACTGAATCCACTTGCCATCTTTAGCTGAACTTTAGCTGGAAGTGAGGTCAGGAGTGATAAACTTGCACTGCCGGCAACTGCCGGCAACATCACATTGACTCTCAGAAAGCCTACTCAACCATATGTAACATACCTTATGGTAATTTCACAGAACTAAAACAACTTGCCAGTCATGATAATCCTCCAAATTATGTTAATTACTGTAGTCATTAACATCAGGCCATAATCATCATTTATATAGCCATAGTAACTATGGAATAAACACAATTGTTCTATGGATAAATCATCATACCAAATTGGCCGTGGTTTCCATTTGCAGCTGCCCGGAGGTGGCTTCCAGTGAGCCCCATGGGGATCCCAGGGTAGGCCGATGACCGGATAGGGATGACCAAGCAGCCGGTTATTCCATGTGATTCCAGGGTTGCTATTCACTTCTGGTTGTTGGTTTCAACCCCTCTGAAAAATATGAAAGTCAATGGGAAGGATTATCCCATATATTATGGAAAATAAAAAATGTTCCAAACCATCAACCAGACTTAGTATCTTCAAAAGTTGAACATAATCTAAATGATGGTAGTAGCTATACTACAGCTGCTATAGTCAAAGACACCATACAAAAACGCTTCTCCAATCCTATGATCCTTATGATAAATGGAGCTTCCATGAGGTGGCAAACATGGGGGAGACATATTGGGTTTACCATATTGGCTCTGGGTCTTGATGATACATCTACTTACATCTACTGAGTAGAAAGGAATATGAAAGTTGAGTCCGAAACCCATCTCCCAGGAATATCCTCTTCCAAAGGTATCGTTCGTTTTCATCATCCAAGCTTGTGAAGGAACATATTCCTATGCCATATTAATATCATAGTGTTGGGTACATATCCCACTATATCCCATGACATCACCAGTATAGTTATATATAGTTATCCCATTGTATCCCATCATATATGTAAAAGACGTGTATATAATATATATATATATATATATTTATTACTATTTAATTATTTATATATATATATTTAAATATGGCCCCTGCCTTAGACCCCCCCCATGCCAGCATACCTTGGAATAATTGGATATTATTCCAGCCCCATTGCACATGTTCTGGGAAAACATTCCAGTATGTCACACGACATCGGGAATAATTAGGGTAAATTTAGGGCAACCCCCCCCTCTCCATTCACATAAAAATACAAGTTGTAATCAAATTTGGTATATTTTTGGCATGTGTTGACTGAGGTTGTATTGCCACAAACCACTAGAAACCTCGTGTCAGAAAACTTTTTCAAATAAACTCAAGAGTTTATTGGGATCTTGCAAGTTTTGCTCGTTCCTGGTTTCAAAGATGTGCTCCGGCAATGCTCAACCTATCTCAACCTGTGAAGAATTCCTAGGTGTTTCCTGGTGATGCCCAATTTCCCCTGGATGGTTGAGAGTGGAGAGACAGTGTAACAGTCCAGAGGTGAGCTCTGGCGGTACTGTCGGAAGCTCATCTGGGAGAGGATGGTATCCTGCAGTGTCCTTGGGATCAATGGGTCCCTTACTACGTGCTGCATGAATTTTGGCTGCTACGTAGGCTTGTTGAATCAGCGCTCCATGCTGTGTCGCCATGATGTGCAGGTATATAAGCCCGTATGGCGGCTTTTCTCTTGCTTGGACCGTCGTCGGCTTGATTTTTGTTGGCACGGGCCAGAATGTTCCTCGCTTCTTCTTCCCTTGCTTTAGCGGAAGACATATGGGTAACTTATGGAAATTTAGCCAAAGACCAATGGACCCACTGAGTGAACATTGGTGACCCAATGAATGGTTTGAAGAATCCCTGGTTTTTTTCTGGATTTTCCTGTTGATGCCTAATTATTCCTGGGTGTTCTGACATATGTGGGTGACCTGTGGTTAAAATATGGGTACTTTAGTCAAAGACCAATGGGCCCACTGAATGAACATTGGTGACCCAATGCATGGTTTGAAGAATTTTTAGGTGTTTCCTGGTGATGCCCAATTTCCCTTGGGTGGTTTGACACATGTGGGTGACCTGTGGAAGACATATGGGTAACTTATGGTAACTCAGCCAAAGACCAATGGACCCACTGAGTGAACATTGGTGACCCAATGAATGGTTTGAAGAATCCATGGGTGTTTCCTGGTGATGCCCAATTATTCCTGGGTGTTTTGACATATGTGGGTGACCTGTGGAAAACATATGGGGATGTCTCAAAATAGGGGTGCCCATATGAGTGCCCCAAACTTTTTTTTTCAGATGAAAAAAGAAAGTTTGGGGCACTCCATTTTGGAGACATTCCCATATGGGTAACTTATGGTAACTTAGCCAAAGGCCAATGGACCCACTGAATCCCACTGAGTGAATATTGGTGACCCAATGAATGGTTTGAAGAATCCCTGGGTTTT